CTAATTTGGGATTAACAACCATAAGGAGGTCACGCAAATCCATCAGCTGCTTTTTAATGGCAGATTGGTCCAATTCGAAATTCCTGTGCTGTAAATAGCAAATTTCTGACAAAAATCAAACACTTCAGTTAAACAGCTATGGTTCGAGAGTGTTAATCCCCGAAGACGGAAGCTCAAGTTCTGATTCATGTTTTTAATTATTGCACAGAAAAACATTACGAAATAATTTGACATAAAATACTTGATCAATTTGGAAATTAAATAAATTGTGGTCAATATTGAACAGCTAAAGAAAAGCTATTCATGTAATAAAATATTCAGCCCTTTTTTTTTCTAGGATCGATTACGAATAAAATATAACTGCCAATACTTACTAAAAAATTAATAATATCAAAATCTTACCACTCTTTTTAACAATCCAACAAAAGCCCAAAAGGCATGAACTTCATTCTGCAGCACGACAAGCAGAGGAGAAAGGAAATCACTCATTCCCTGTACATATCCTAAAACATACACATGTTAACTATGCTCAGAAACACAACAATTAAGAATTTTTATCCATTATCTGGTTTCTTCTTTGCAAATGAGTATGATTACGTGGTGTTCCCGAATTAATGGAAAATTACTTTTTTTGAAGAAATTAACAACGAAAAAAAATACATAGAAATATATGCTAGAAAGAACTAACCGAGGTCAAAGTTGTACATACAGTACGTCATTAAAATATCGTTGAGAAGTATGAGATTACTATTGTCACAACCACCAAAGAAAGTATGCGTGCGATCTGTTCGTGATACATCCTTATCTAAAAATAATGTAAAAGTTCAATCTGAGAATTACAGGTTTAAAAATTAGAAAATGCAAACTCTGATGAATCGCTTTATAAGGTACCAATTAAAGCCTTTCGAGCAGCAAATTCACTGAATCTGTTTTCTTGATCTTTGCTTATTGTTTTCCATTGTAGCTTCATGCGATAATAATCCTCGGAAAGTGTTTTGTGCATCTCAAAACAGCTTCATTTTATAAAAGAAAGAATCAGAAAAGCATTTAAAATTGACGAATCGAAAATTCTTTTTACGAATGCGAAGAATTAGACGAAAAAGCAGAAAGAAAAGCTGACTAATAATGAACAAGTTAAACGAAAAATATTAATAAATACAGCTTCATTTTCAGCAGAGGATTTCTTCCAATCATACACGCCGAGAAGATACTTCCATGCTTCCTTCCTTAACGATGGATCCAAACCGCCACGAAAGATCAGTACTTTTAATGAATGAACGTCTCTGATTGAACCGTCAGGCATTCTAAATACTTTCAACTTCAAAAAAAGCCAAAAATCTTACAAATAAGAGTTCAGAAAACGAATTGATGTCTAAAAAACGAGTCTAAAAAACGAATTGATAGATTGACTAATTCGTATGAAAAGTAAAAGTTTTGCTTACTTATATTTTTGCCAGAATGTTTCAGTTAATGGTTTTTCTCTCGTGAATTCTGGCCGTTGCGGTAATTCCAAATGAGTTATAAGTTCAAACCCTGCGTCTTCATGTGACCTGAAAATTGATTTAATACCTATTAAAAATTTGAAAATTTATTTAAAATGTAATCTACAAAAATAAATGAAAAAAACAAATATATTCAGTTGAAACACGTACCTTAGAATGCCTGCGGCTTCATCTTCTTTTTCTCTCAACTCCCTCATTGCTCTAATTTTTTCTTCTGCACTTATTGCATCTGATTCCAGTATAGAAGGTATAACCTTCAAAATGAACAATTCAACACAAGTATGAAAATGAATTACCGATTTTTTTTTTGTTTTATTATTACATATTTTCATTTAAATACATTTGCAGTCTTTCATATCGAAATCTCACAGAAATATATAAAATATATGAATGGCAGTAGTCAGCAACAAAGCAGGACAAAACTAACCATTAGAAAACTTTTAGCTGATTGTAAGAATGCAAAGTTTTTTTTAAATATACAATATATTATTTTAATGTAGTAAAAAATAAAAGAGAAAAATTTCTAAATGTACCTGTTCTTGGACAAATGTTGCCACTTTTCCAAGTCCTGTCATTGCTGTTGCGTATGGTTGTGCCATCATACGCTATAACAGTAAAGAGATGTAGAAATAGTAGGAATATAATTCGATCATAAGAGTAAATGCGACAAAACTGTGGAAACAAATATGAAAATACCGAAAAGAAATCGCTGTTTAAATCCAAAATCGAGACAGATTGTTCCAAAGCTTCAAGGCGTTCGTCCGTGAAAAGTACCAAATTTGCTTCGCGAGCTGAACGCTTTAGTGTAGTATATCTAAAACATATGAAAAGGAGTGTGATGTGACTAATTATAAATGGTTAAGAAAGTATTACCTTTGCAAGTTATCAGTAAAAGAAGATATTCCACCCTGACGAAAATACAGTGGTGTATAGCCTGAACCGTCTTTGCCGATAAAGCGTATCCAAGGGTATCCTTTAAAAAAAGTTCATTGCGTAAAAAGGAAGGCAAACTTATTTAAGTATCTCACAAAGATTTAAATTTTCTATCAGCTGAACTACTGTCGAGTCAGAAATAGGTTATGTTAAAAAAAGTCCTCTGCAATAAATGCTGTAATTTATAGAAGTTACTGCAATTTATTCAAAAAATCAATCAGGATTTTTCAAAATGATGAAAGTGATAGTTGTCAGTTTCCTATTTCTGCAAACAATGAAAATATTAGATAAAATATTTTCAATTCTAAACCTACAAGGCAGAATTCTAGAATTGACAATCACTTAAAAAATACCTTTCTTAGGTTCAACACATTGGAACGATCGCAAATCTTTAATGTCAACTGAAAATTTCAGCTTATTTATATAATCTCGACGTGATTCGCCACTATCTAATGATGTCGAAAGATTTTCATTATCATCTTCGGCTGCAAGAACCCAACCATCTTCCTCCATAGGAATCCATTCAATCATTACACCATATGGCTGAAAATAATAGGAATTTTTGGATATTATTTCCCATTTATATTGAGAAAAACAATTTTTATTTTGGTTAGGAAAACAGCTGTCAAATGAATACGAGACAAACTGTGCGAACTTTCTCAATTAACGATAATTTCCCACTGATATAACAGTCTTCTATCTCTTCACCTTCCACAACTCGTTTCGCAGCTACTCCTTGAAGCGTAAAGGCCTCCTGAAAGCGTAAATCGTGTGATTACATTTATTTCCAATAAAAAAGGTGATTCATCACTACTCTTCTTCTTTCACTGGAAAGCACTTTTATGGGTAATAATCGAATTATAAATAAGGAAACCAAGGTAAGGCCAGAATATTTAATAAGCATCTGCAAAAAAATTTGTACCTCGCAAAAAGAACTCCACTTTTAGAAGAATACACTGTTACCTCAAATGTAATACACTCAGCTATCGCAAAATCATTTGGAATATAGAAACGCAATTATTTTCAATGTTAATGCGAAGAGGCATTTCATAAACCGATTTAGTCATCGTTTGATGATGAGATGCAACATTCAACCAATGTTGCATAAAAGTAGCCGAGTTACTGAGGCCATAGGACAGGGCACAATATTTAATTATGAAGCGGACATGTTATAAATGAACAGGTACGAAAAGAAATTAACAAATAACAATAGCTTTTCGTATATAAAACATGAAATTATACTTACACGGGTGATAAATGAAGAATGAATACTGGTCACTTCGTCCAAAGCTTCCATTATTATCTGTCCTTTTCTTTTCTGATAATGTCGATAGACAAGATATGCGGGGATCATCAACAACTGATGAAATTAATCCTATCCCCTCAAAATAAAAAAAACAAAACAATCATGGCAATAAACAATCGATGATTTTGTTGTCAATCGTTTTGCTGATTTCCTCACACCTTGATATTATTAAAAGACAATTATTTATCACGTCATTCTGTCATTTTTACGTTACGCTATAATTCACATTACACAATGGTATATTACCTAAATGAAGTAAACATTACGCTATAGTCCTTATTTTTTTACTATTTACTTATTTTGTAAATTTAGCGAAAAATTAATAAAAGTTAATGTAACGAATGTATGACACACAAATATTTTAGTTAACAAATTCTTTTCCATCAAAAATATATTAAAATGTTGGAAATTTTTGAAGTAAAACTTTAACATCTAAATGAAAATCTGTTTTATATTAGCTTATAGAGAATACTTATAGAGAATATAGATGCACACATATACACACACAGACGCACATATGCACACCCATAGAGGAGTGAATTTGGATCGTCCATTGGACGCATCATTTGAGTAGCAATAGTTATAACAATAAATCGATCGCCGCGTTGCGATCAGCAATGTCGGCAGAGTTGCCGTTGACAATCGCAGCGCGCAATCAGCGTGCAACGGGTGCAGGGGGGCGACGAATTGAATCGTTAATTCGGGATAGAAGGTTTACGGGGTCATAGGTTATCAAGTATATGTCATGTGTAAAATATCGGAAAATGTGTCACATGATCTCCTCTCTGTCAGTTAGTAGCCTCCTCATTCTATAATTACGTATTTCAATTGACGTAATTTGTTTCATGGAAAAAGAACAAAAGTTTTGCCACTTTCTATTAATTTTGTATAAAAACTATATTTTCCGCATGAATCGTTTCACTTACGTCAAGACAATAAATAGCATTACACGTAAGTAGTTTATCAGTCCTAAATAGCTTTTTCAATCATGTTATATATGTTTGAAGTGTCTTATTTTGCCTTTGTTCTTCATCATATTCCTCAAAGAACAAGTCACATAGATATGACGCATATTGTATTTCCATCAGACCATGAAATTATTGCCGTTTGAGTCATAGAAAATATTTCATGCGCTGACCTTCCACTTGATTATTGACTTTTAATGTTATTTTGTTTTGCAGATTGTTCCTTTTGTTTTTGGTAACTTAGCCGATTCTTTCATTAATTTCGTTATTGCTATTTGGTAGTACCATCGATGTATGGGAGAACGAACGAATATGGGGAACTGCTTGCCATTATTGTTCCCGAATTTATTGCGTGGCGATGATCGCTCTCCACTGGAAGAAGTCATTGATACTGCTAGTGGCAGCAATACTACAATGAGACATTCCGATTTAGAGGTTGTAACTTTTAATAGTTAACTTTTATTGGATTATTTCGAAATATTCTCTCCGTGATGATGAACATTCTTCTTACAGGGATGGATTTAATCGATATTATTGGAAGAAATAGGTCTTTAAACCCTGATTCACTGTTTCACTCCGCTATTTAGGTTGAAGCTGGCTGTTCAAAAGACTTGCTACATCTAAAATATTTTGTTTGGATTGCGTTAATACATATTTAAGATATGTAAAGTACTCTGTAATGCAATAAACTTCCAAGGGTGTGAAATTTTTGCGTTGAAGTTTGAAAAAATTTTTAAGAAGAGTGTTTTTATTTAAAAAATTTTTGTGGAATTTTGTTCGACTTTGCTCACCGAGGTCTCGCTTTTGTATTGATTTGTGTCTTCGTATTGGTTTTTTGTTTCTAAAAGTGTCGTACATTATTCTTTTTTAGATACCAAGTGCATATATAAATGAACTTTGGATCTCAGAAGCAAACGATGGAAGAAGACAAGAATTGTTGATGGAAGATCCTAAAAAGGCACACGTGTCAGCCCTACTAGAGCAGATTCCTGCTGATACGTATAGCGATACATATAAGCAAGAAGGAAAAATGAGGGATATCGAGTATATTTTTCTTGTATTCTTTCTGCTTGATGGAAGCACCCGACTGTATTTATAATAATATTTTAGTTTGAATCCACAGATCGTAGATGAAAAAGGTGGAAATGGACTGTTTTGATATAATTTAATGATGTCGTTTATGACATTTTGAAGCAAATTTCAGAACTTTAGATTATTTCTCTTCCCTCAGAGAAAAATGTTTTATAGAAGAATTATGTTACGTTATCCTGATTGACTTTGACAAAATTGATTGTTTAATAAAGATTGATTCTAACATTAGATTATTTCACCCTTCAGTATCTTTTTTTGTGTAGCAAGAAATTTTTTTGTAGTTTCCCAACAGGAGTAATATAATTTGTGCTATTAAATAGTGCAATATTGATAGGACACATTAGACTACTACCTAAGCTGGTCTTTTTTTTATTTTAGTTAACAAGAGTGGTCTGTTGTCTTTTTCAGATGCCCAATTTGCATGGTAGATTTCGTTGATGGCGATCCGATTCGTTACTTGCCTTGTATGCACTGTTATCACAAGAACTGTGTGGATGACTGGTTGATGCGTTCTTTTAGTTGTCCATCATGCATGGAGCCTGTTGATTCCGCCATGCTCTCATCATTTGCCGCACACACACTTAGAGGTTTAGAGGCATTGACTTGTTGTCCAGCTACTTCTGGTATGCATCATAGTTTGCCACCTTCGTAACACTTTTTTAGCTCCACTTATGATAGAGTGTTTTTTTTCTTAAAAATCTTAGAAATTTTGATTACTTTTTTTTTGCCTATTTTGTAAAATGTGCGAAGTCATAGTGCGCTTCAAGTATTCTGACAGCAGCTAGCAGCTTGCTGCAAAATATTTTCTGCTCAGTTAACGAACCTTTTGATCTTGTCTTTATGTATATCTCTGTATATATATATATATTTATCTGTGTGTAAAGAGTTTTCTATAAAACTCAATCTCCGGTGAGCATTTTTATCTGTCTTGGATTATGGCTTTTGGGGAATATTTGAAACAGTATTTTCCAATATTGCTATGCTGCAATACTTTCTGGTATCGTTCTCAATTTGTAGAATGTCTTCTTATCCTATTTTTTTCTGCTTTATATTATCTCATAATCTGAACAAGCTGAAACATTCCTAAATATGGCTTTCTTTTCGCAAAAAAGTAACAAGTTATTTAGCACTATTTTTTAAATGCGGCTCACCTGTAAAGTTGAGCATTTTTCATGCTGGCCATGACTGTGTGTGTCAGGAGTGATATTTATACAAGCCATCGAAGTTCTTTGGTTTAATTCATCTATTTAGATTGTTGTGATTCTACTTCTCAGTCCTAGTAGACCGGTATGTCACATTTCTTTTCATCCCGCTTGAATTTTTCGGGATTGAGAAGGCTTATGTCCTAAAAACTTCAAACAAACGCTTTAGCAACTTCCATCATTGGCACTATCAGCTGCTAAAGAAACAGTTCTATGAATTGTCAACAGTTGTAAAAATCATTAAATAGCAATAGGTTTTATTATCTATGAAGAAAAATTTTCGTTGATATTCATATCTTGAACTTTTTTTGATCCCATTTTCTAGTATTTTATATGCTTTCTATTCATCTATCAGGTATGAATGAATGATTATAGAGTTTGCTTTTGATAATTTTTATTTCTCCACTTCATTGGCTTAGTACCAATTTATTACTGGTTGTGAATGTTTACATTTTACAAAGTTGATTTTATTTCTCATCACTTTCGGGACAACTCATTCTTACTATCGTCAGTTGTCAATTTAATATTTAAAGTTTAAAGTTTTAATCTAAAATTTTTATTTGAATTTATGCAGTTCTGGAAAGCGATTTTATTACCATTTTACCACATTTTCTTCTCTGGTTGGCTCAAGTAAGACGTTATACCGAGTGATGACTTCACAATGTTATCAGTTCGGTCCTTTGAAAGTCCTTTTCTGCTTTTCTTCATCTTGCTTTAGGTATTATTATTTCACTCTTTAAAATTTCCTTGTGAGCTTCTTTGAATCTGAACATATTAATTTTTGTAAAATTTTTTTTGTTTAAATGTAAATAAATGTAACTATCGTTGCTGTATACACTTCACACTGCTTTATAAATAGGTTTGTTGTGGATTTTTCGTTTCGAATTTTAGCTTTAACAAATTTTAAACGATGAAAAGAAGCGATGTGAATTTGGAAACATTCTCCTAATGGAGGAGAAGACTTTCTGAGTTGATTTCTATTAGACTATGCTAATGATTCGATTATTTCTTAGGAAGTTTTACCATCAATTGGGTTGAAGAACGTCCCTCGGACGATTTTTATATCATTAAATTGGAATGTTAGAAATTTGATTGAACCATATTTTGGATATATATAAGTGGAACTTTCAAAATGGGGAAAACTTAATTTTTTTTCCACGCAGTTATGTTTATATGAAAAAAGGAGTGGCAACCTGTAGTGAAACAAGTGCGCTTAAGATATAACACTTCAAACTTAACACTTTAAGCTCAGAGTTAGGGTGAGAATGAAGCAGACATCTTCAGATTTTTCTCTCATCGAATTTTGAAAGAAGAACTTTACACACAAACACATAGGCATACATGCGTAGTTTTCATCATATAGCTGCAGCTGCTACTTTCCCATATCGTTGGAGAAATGTTTTAGCGACAACAACGAATGCACACAGAAGACATTTTTGATCTCGAGACTCGAGATTGGCGGAAAAAGCATATTTTATGCTAGATTTATTTTTTTTTCATTCAATCTATCACTATGTAACCTTTGCTTAGATGTTGATCGTAAGAAAAAGCTTAGTCCGAATAAACTTAATTATTAGTCGGAAATCATTTAAATTCATCTCTCGCAATAGCAAATCGTGTATTTATTTTTAGCGCAATATTAAATTATAATTACAAGTAAATATTTTCAACTTTTCCAATTCTTTCTATATCAATGGAACTTAATTTTAATTTGCTCATTGTTTCAGCCTTAATTCACAAAACAATTTTTCGTTGTATTTAAATTTGAAAATTTATTGTTTAGTTAGATTTGGAAATAAAATAATATGTTCGGTTTTTTAATAGTATTTTTTAGAATTCATTTCCAAAATGATTGAATGATAATTATAGCAGGCGGAAATGGTATTTTCGAAGGAATTAGGTTACGATCCTGATGAGTGGGAGGAATGTTCAGATTCAGATCAATTCATGCTGTTTGGTTTTACCACTAGAATGTTTCTTTCTCTTACTTCTGTTATTCTTACGATTCTCTTTTTCTGGTTTCTTGAAGCTCGAAAACAACTTGATAAAACACGTGAAGCGGAAAATCTTCCTCCTACGGTAATACTAGTTAGTTTGCTGCAATTTTTTTCACTTTTCAAATTTCAAAATAGTTATTTAATTTGTTTCATCGCCATCTTTTAGTATTCTTAATTGTAATCATTTCAGAATATGGACAAAGAAATCGTGGATGAATTGGAAGCGGTAAAGGAAAGGTTGGAAAAACTTGGAAAATTGAGGCAAATGGAAGCAAATTTCAGCAAGTTTGTTTTGCCAAAGAAAAATCATAAATTAAAAATATGATACTAATAGTATTGATTGATTGTTATCATTAAAATGATCATTTTCAAATAGTTTTTTTGAAAAGTTTATTGAATTATTTAAGGGAGGAAACGGAAGCATTAGAGGAATGGCAACGGGAAGTGGCACGAATAGAGGAATTACGATTACAGGATTTGGTTGAACATGTAATCGATGCATCCGAAACGATGTTTATGGCTGAAACGGAATCTCAATTTACCGATCGTCTTTTACCTGCTGATCAAATATCAGTGAAAACAGATAGTGCCGAAGCAAAACAGTTTGAGGAAATTCAAAGGTTAATTTTTATTTGTTATTTTCTATTATCAGAAAATATAATCTAGAAAATACAAAAATGAAATTTTGTGAATAACGATTTGTCCGAAATTTTATAAAACTGGAAGAGAAGCAAAATTCAATAATTCCAAAATTGTTACCTTTTCATTTTTCTTAAGAAAACAATTAAAGTTAAATCCAAATTATAAGTTAGTGAAAATCTGGAAAAAAGATAACATTAAGTGAAAGGTATCATTGACCCAAAAAGAGAGATTTATCTTCTTTAATCTTAAGCATTTTGATAAGCTACATTTCTACAGGATAATAGATCAAACACCTTCACAGATGTCACCAAACAAATTTGCCGTTCCAGCCGCAGTTCAGTCGGCAGCTTACACAGAAGATGTTATTGCCAGCATTCAGGTTGCTCATTTTTCATCGAAAATCCTGGCTAATCTTTTTTTTTGACCAAATCTATTTATTTTTTTTATATTCTTCAATTTGGATGACATGCATAAATTGCAGGATGCAGCAAGTACTATTGTAATAGGCAGCGAGCGAGAAAATGGGTTAATTTCCTGAATTTCTTTTTCTATCATTTTATCAATTAATTTTTATCATTTTATCAATTTGCAAATAGTTTTTTATTATCGTTTATGAGCATTATTAGCTTCAAAAATTTTTAAAATTGAAACGATTGCAGGAGTGTTAGTACTACGAATGATTGGGAAGCTCTCGCTCAATCGGTAACTCTTGGATATTTTCTGGTATAAGATGACTGAAATTTTGTCCGAGACTTCTCAATACTTTGTTTGAGAGGAATACATTAAGCAAAATTTCAATTTTAACAGCAAATGCTTTATGTTTTATTTACAATTTGATCAGAAAAATTTTCAAATTGTTTTAATTAATTATAAATATAACAAAAAAATTGCCACTAATTTCAATTCTTAATTTTGACATTAACATTTTTTAATTTTATTCTAACATTTAAACTTTATTAAACCGTAAAATTAATGATTAATTTTCACAGATGTCATTTTACACTTTAGAAAATTCGACTAATTTCTATAAAATTTCATATAAATTAAATTAATAATTAGTATATACATTAAATTAAATTGATAATTAATATATACATATGGGATAAAATTACGATTTATATTTTATATTTAGGAATTTCCCGTTGAACGAGTTCAAGATTTTGTTTACAAACCGAATGATAACGAAGTGAGCGATCAGAATATTCATACATCAATTGAAAACGATGATGATTTTGTGAAAGTTTATAAGGATAAGCTACAAAAGAGTGATACTGCAATGCTACAAGAAGGAAGTCAACAAACGACTGGCACAACTCTTCCTGATATCACTATTCAGAAAACATTGGAGGAAAGACAACAACCAATAATAACTGAGTTGTTATCATCTGATCAATTATCTGTTGCAATGACTGGAGCGGATTACATCACAGAAGAAAATCAACAGCAAGTTGGTTTAGCATATCATTATGTGTTAGCGCCACTTGAAATCAAACGTTAAATTTTAATTAACAAATGATTTTTAATTTTATTTTCTTTTGATAAGCAGTTTTCCAGTTTTTAATTCTCTATTAATATTAGCGTAAATGTCATTTTGACCTTTAATGGAATTTAAAGAGAGTTCAATTAATTCAATTTTTTGAGTATTTTGAACATTTTTTGCTTCAATTTAAATTTTACAAATTTGATATATTATAAATTGAAATTTTATAATTCAAACTTGTGAAATTTCGCAGAAGCTATTACAGAAACTTGATAAGGAAACATTCGAATTGATTCCAACAACAACTTTAACGACAAAACCAATAGAAACTGACCAAATACATACACCAATTGCGCAAACAGCTGAGAAAGCATTGACACTGAAAGTGGCCGATGATAATAATATGATGAATGTAGATGGAAAGCCTGTACTTCCCACCACAATCACAGAAGATCAGCCACTTACGGATGAAGAATGTAGACGATTAGTGGAAGCGGAAATATACATACAAGATGCCATCGATTATGTGGCCAGTGAGATTCGTTCCGAAGCACCTGGTGGTTTCATCGTTGAAGAAGACATGTTAAACAATACAAATGAAAGTGGTAATATCATCGGTGCTCCTAATTTACAACAATTACCCGCTTCTCCGGAAGCTACAAGTCGAATGTTCAAGACCAATGAAGTTAATAGTGTTTCATAGCTTATTTGCTTATTTAAATTTTAATTATTTAGCAGATAAATATTTTATTGAGTATAAAAGCAATTGCATTTTCAATGAATATTAATAATATCTAATGTAGTAAATAATTCATTTTATTCATTTATTGCTGTAAATAAATTAGTCATTTGTTATATACATTTTAATGAATTAGATTTAAAATTAATTTTAATTAATTTCAAACTGATTTTAAAGTAAACAAAATATGGAATTTAAGATATTTGAAAAAGTGGAAGAATCGGCAGAAATTGATGATGCGATGACATATGCTCCTGAGATACAATCCATCGAAATTCAACCCGATGAAGCAAGCGTTAACAGTGAAAATTTATTGGAATATTTCGATCAAGTTGCTACAGAATGCATTGATGTCGTTAGTTGTTTTTTTTTTCTCATTTCATTTCCTAATTGTTAATTTTTAAAATATCAAAAATTCATTTCAATTTTTAGAAGAATTCTTAAATTCTTATCATTTCAAAATTGTTTCATTAATTCTTTGTCAGATATATTATCAATATAAAAATACATTTCATTTCATTTTTGCTTCAAAATATATTTTATTTATAGCCATCATTACCGCAATCGATAAAAATTGCCGAAAATACACCATTTACAAAACCGATCGAATCATTACAATCATTATCTTTACAGAGGAGTTCAAAGAGTTTGACCCCAAGTGGAAGTCAACCACAGGTGTGAATAATACTTTAAGTATTAACGACATTGGAGTATAATGGAAAATATGTAATAATTGAGTATTAATTATGCAAGAATATTTTGTTGAAATGTTGAAAAATTCACAACATATTCATTTTTAGGATGAATAAATTACTTCAGTTAATAATTAATTTTGTAATCTGAATGTATTTGAAATAATTTTGTTAGTTTGATCTTAGAGGTTGAAAATATAAAAATGAAGAAATAATCAGATTGATCAATTGAATATTGATTGAATAATCGCTATCAAATCTATCTATTAAAATCTTCGGAAGCATTTCAGATAAAGAAACGAAGTTCATTGTTAAGTGTACTCGGTGTAACAAGTACACAAGAAATGTTGTTAACATTAACATCACTTGAAGATTTATCAAATGCTATGCGTAAAGCTGGTTTACAGTCTACAAATTTAATTTTTGGTAAAAGTATTTTTAATTTTTAAACAAAAATTCAAATAATTTTGCTACTATTATCAATTAAACCCTCTTTATTCAAATAAATCTTTTCATATTCATAAAAATTTTGTATGAAATTTTTTTTTGAACTTTCAAAATCATAATTTTATTAAGTTTAACCAGTTTTAGTTTGATAAGCATAATCGATAATGATGATATCATCATGTTTAGGTATTGATTATACGGCTAGCAATAAGTACCAAGGTGAACGATGCTTTCAAGGGCAGTCTTTACATTCGGTGGATGCTTTTAAAGAAAATCCGTATCAACAGGTTAGAAGAAATGTGCAAATAATTTTATATATATATAAGAGAGAAAAATTCATTTTTTATCATTGATATTATTAATCTTTATATCAATTGCGGAAAGTTGCTAGTAATTAATTAGCCATCTATAACTTAATAATTTTAGTAAACAACATACAAATATTAATCGATGTAGAAACAAGAAAATATTTAGGTAATTAAAATCATGGGGCGGATATTGGCACCCTTTGCTACGTCTGGTTTTATACCAGCTTATGGTTTTGGGGATGTGAAAACGAGTGATTGGTCAGTGTTCAAATTAAAGCCTGAGGGTGAATGCAGAAATCTCGATGAATTATTACAGTAATTGAGCATTTTGAATATTTTTGAAAGTTAAAATTTTTTGATAGTTAGAGTTAGAAATACCCATAATCTTTTGGATGTATGTTTTATATTTCATAAAAATGTTCAAATCATTAAAATGGATTATAATATGATTTAGTATGATCAATTATTAGAAGTTCTCGAGCAGTGTTGAAAAATATATTTTTTTAAAGTTCATTTTGTAGTTTAAGAACAACAACAACAACAACAATAACACTATAATAGTATGAATAATAAATACAAGCAATCATTATTACAGAGTATATGATGCAATCACTCCAACAATAAATTTAAGTGGTCCAACAAATTTCGCTCCGCTAATTTACGAAGCTATTGAAATTTGCGAGAAAGTTCAAGATGTTCGTTTCCTTTGATTGCTGCATTTTTGATTGAGCTTTATTACCTTAGAACAGGGAAATTAATCTTACAATATGGAGACTTTTCAGAAATTACTAAATTTCATTTCTGTAATCACAGAAAATATAAGTTTCAGATTTTGTTCATTTTCAGAAATATGTTTCAGAATTTCAGAAATTTTAATGATTGAAAAGAAATAGTCTTTAATCATTTAAACGAAATAATCTTTAATCGCTCAATCATTATTTATGGTCATTCCTATACAAAAGTCTATTTGCAGTATCATATATTAGTGATAGTAGCTGATGGACAAGTGACGAACGAAAAGGCTACTCGGAGGGCAATTGTACGAGCATGCCAACATCCGCTGTCAATTATTGTGGTCGGTGTTGGTGATGGACCATGGGATATGATGAAGGTTTGTTTATCCAGCAATATACCGAAAACTGACTTTATTTTAATTTAATTATCCAAATTTTATATTCACGTTCTCATAACATTTTATCCAATATTTAGCATAGAGTAAGTTTTTAAATTACACTTCCTAAATTTCAGGTATTTGACGAATCTTTACCAAGAAGACCCTGGGATAACTTCCATTTTGTTGAATTTCATGAAGTGATGCAAAAAGCGAATAATATCGATGCCGGTGAACTATCATTCGCAGTACAATCATTATTGGAAATACCGGATCAATATAATACAGTTCGTCAATTGGGACTAATACGATCAGTTTCACCAATACCCGAACATAATCCATAATTGATTGAATAAAGGACTTCTGATAGAAATTATCATCATTATATGACTTCTCTTCCGTGTTAGACCTCACAAATATTCCTGTAGCTTTAATTGATTTATTTCAAATATTTTTGCTTGTGATGTATGATTTTTCTCGTGGCTCATACTACCACAAGTAAAATATGTTTATAAAGATGTCCTGATATTTAATGTGCTCCTTCATTTATCGTCATTTTTAACGGCTAACTTTTCCTAATGACCAAAATTTATATTTACATCTTATTGCAATGAAGTGGAGATTTGCGCGCTTCTAACGTAATGAACAGTTTGAAATAACCCGAATAATTTCAAACATTTTTAATTGTTTATACAAAGCAGATAATAAAGAAGCTCAGCTCACTATGATATGAGGCATAAAGCTCTGAAAGGCTTATTCTACTGAATTTTTTCACTCATCATTTTATAATTGTTAAGAAACGTGATTCATCATCTTATAGCTGTTAAAAAATACGACATTAAAAGCACCTTTACTATAGTAGTATACAATAAAACGAAATAAATTTAAATGAAGAATTGACAAATTAAAGGTGATAACATGAAAATGAACTGTATAGTATAGCCATGAACTGTATAGTATGAAAATTTTTTACCAGTTCCATAAGAAATTCTTATATTTTGGCATTACAAGCAGAAAAGTAAATCAAAACATAGAAAAAGTAGCGGAATGCATAGCGATAATTGATCTCACATCCATAGATAGCATGTTGATTTTATGCAGTCTTGAGTGTTGAAAAATCTTTTTTCATTTTTAAGTAATAAATGAGAGGATCAATCTCTTATTTCTCAACGTAGGAAAATAATGATTATCGAATAATAGACTGATTTAGAAATCAAAATTACTCCTCAAATTATCATGAGTGTGCCGACTGTTTTATGATATAGATAGTTATAAAAAAAAACGTAATGTGCATATAAATAGCAAAGATTTTTTTGTGCTTATGGAACGACCGAGCATTGAGATGGAGCACCTTTGCAAAAAAAATGAAACCTAAAAAGTTAAACACATGATTTTCACATCCACCAATTCTTTAATGAGAAAATGAAGTCCATTCAAAAACAGCTCAAAATACGAAAGTACCGGAAAGGTTTGTGGTGTTTCAGCGCAAATAATCTTATAAAATTATCCCTGTACAGTGGCATGCATAATAATATCATACAATTTTAACTTCCCCATTAAGACTGCTTTCTCCTGTTATAAGCGCTATTTTTAATTACTTTATCATACCAGATATACTAATCTTTATTCAGTTAGAAAATCCTTACAACTACGTAAAATATTCTGAAATAATTATTTTTTGAAATTCCGAAAAATAAAAGGAAGCAGAATGGATATAACTTCTCTTTCAGATATAACTTTGATACAGCTGTATCAAATCATTTTCGAACTTTACAAAGTGGTAGAAATGACTGTAGGAGTGATGTGATTCAAAAACAGACAAAAATTTATCGAAGCGAAGGGTCGACTTTTCGGCTGATATCTTGCATCACATCATCTACAGTTTCGTCCATCGGATTATTGAATTCGTCGCAAAATTCATCGCGCATTTCTTGTACTCGGAGCCTATTGTAATTATAATAAGCAACATTGCAATTATTACTTCATTGCTAAAATTAACTCAAGTCTAGGGGACGAATAAATGCTCGAGTTCATATTCTTAACATGCCGTAAAGTCTGGAGAGTTTCGAATACAATAAATATAATTAATGATACATAGTAGTCTGATTAACAGCAGTTTCAAAGATTTAACGAAATGAACAAATTCATTTGTATTCCTATCACTGCAACACTAATCACTGAGCAGATTAAAATCTTACAGAGTCACAATATCCGCATGTTTGCCTTCGATAGCTAGATCCAAAGGTGTTTCGTTTAATCGATTCCTCAAGCGCTGATCGGCTCCACGTTTCATTAACTGACAAACGATTCTGCAGATTAAAGCTTTTTGTCAACTTCGCCATTGAATGTTTAATGTGTTTAAAGAGCATTTTTTGTAAAATCGAAAACAACTCACAGTGTGCACGCTTTCGTTGCAGCGATATGAAGTGCAGTGTTAAGAGATGAATCCAATGCATTTACTTTTGCACCATTTAATAGGAGAAACTCTACTGCTATACTTTGATCCTAAACTGGAAGTTTTTAGAAAAGATGGTATACAAGAATATCCAGTGACAGACAGTACAATAAATATATTTATCAGTGTAATGATAAAGTACCTGTTCGCAATAACTCAAGAAGTAAAGTAAGAGTAACAAGAACGTCGATAATCAAAATAGTGGAAAGAAAGAATATGAAATACATATGCCAGCCGACAATTTGAAACAAACAAAGTTTACGAGTTTCAACTTACATGTTCTATGGCGATATGAAGTGCTGTTGTGTCATTTATAGAAGTATTCACATCGAACCCTTCCGCAATAAGTCGACACAATTCTAAAACATCGCCCGTTGCTGCAGCAAATACAGCTCGATTATTGTGGTCAGTGTCACTTACTGCAAAAGATAAAAATTTAAAACCATTACCCACACAAAGAAAAACTTGATAAAGTTAGCAAAACTTACATTTATCATGTGTTATATTCAAATTTGAATCAGATCCACTTACGGGGATCTTTCTCCTGCCTTCTGAAACAAAAGTATTAAATATTCCACTTTCTGAAATCGAAATCTTTCGATTAGCGTAATTTCAACTTTTCGATTAGCATAATTTCTGCGGCAAATTACATTTTAAAAAAAATCATGCTAGCATAAAAGAGGCCATATGATAATTCATGAGCTACGCCTTGCCATTGTACTACTATGATAATATGTTAGATTTTTATGATAATATGTCTAGATGCTCAAATTACATTAAAAGACAAAACTAACATCATTTTTTTAAAATTTCATCTTATGACAACTTATAAGTATTTTTAATTAATAGAGCACCAAAAGTACCTTTAATCGGAATTTCAATGGGTTTCCATCCAGTATCAGAAAAATATCCGTTTAATTGTTCTTGTTCATTATCAAAATACGGCGGTGGTTCTGATAAACAACGACTGACTGAAGAAACTCGATTTAAGAGAGATCGCTGCGCTGCTAAAATGAAAGACATTTTCAGTTTAGCATCAAACACATTTTTATTTCTTGCTAATGAAAATTTAACTAAAAATTTTTCTACAAGCCATAACTGTGAGAACTTACAGATCCCAGAAGTTCTACGATGGAAACCTTTTGCGCGTTTGATGGCAGATTTTCTTGCTCTTTCGCTGCATTTTCTAACAAACCGTCTTTCAATGTATTTAGCTCTAATCCATGCCTCTCGCACTGGTCTGAAATTACTTAACTTATAAGGTCCTACTTTTTAGCAATTTGCTGTTTATCACGCAGTCACAGCAGAATAGAAAAATTTTTACTCTGGATCACACACAGCAAAATAATGAAATATAGAATGCTTAACACGTCAAGGTGTGCCATTTTAAATCGAAATATAATTAATACAGCAAATCAAAACATAGCATCGGTTTAAATGTACTATAAATTGTTTTTTTTTTTAAAATTAAAATGCAAAATACCTGGCAGAGGCAGCAACAGGTCGTGGTGGTATTACTTTCACAGTGGGAATATGAGCAAGGTAGATTGAATTTACTGCGCAATTTCCTAATGCTAGTAACACCTTTTTCTGCTCCGCTTCTAATGTATCCATTATTAGAGAACGAACTTTCGAAACTTGTACACCAAAGCTTCGATGTATACCACAACATTCAATACACAATAAAACCTAAATTAAACAAGGAAATGCAGTTAATGCTTCAAATTTCAAACAACATATGAAAGAATTCTCCTAATAAATAATCAAAAAATCAATGTGACCTATTTTCGATGAATTTATTATTCTCAAATTTCTTCAGTAACTTATGATTCACTCGGGTTTTCAGTCTTTTAATAATTTCTTCACAGTAATGGCTTAAACTTGCTAAACTTAAAACAAAAAAAAACTGTTCAATTCCTGGAGTAGTATGCAGTATGAAACTATTAGAAACACTACTTTAAAATGTTTCAAAGCTCTAAAACCAAGTGGTTGCCCCCTTATTCATGATAGAATGACGTCAAGCAATACAAACTAGATCTTCAAATTAACTTTAATTATCGAAAATTGAAAACAGTACACATCTGCAACTGTCATCTCTGACTGACACAAGAAAAGCATGGCAAGATCTACCACACAATTTCAACAAAAAATAAAAAATCAGTTTAAAACCAATAAATTACACCGAGATTGATACTAGCCCATTTTGGAGATTCGACACAACAATCAGCGCAAACGTCATTGCCTGGAATTCGTCTTAACTCAGCCAATAATGATTCACAGTGTAGAGTTAAAACAGATTCGGGAGTTCCATCGCTAATTTGTTTTACAGTTGTTTGCTGGAACATCGTATCATCATTTTCATGTAAGTAATGAATTGTTCGTTGAAGAGCTCGCATCCATGCACTACATAACGTATCCGAATCGGCTTGTAACAAATGATTTCTAAAAATATGTCACAAATCGATTGAAAACATAAATTGAAGGTGAGAATACTGTTGCTAATATTATTAGTTCCAAAAATGTTAGATATGATCGATGCATTATCGCAGGTATTTAGGATGAGGTAGATAAAGTTTAATACTTTGTTGGCGTGACTAATTCGAAACAACATGTCCTTTCAAATGTTGTAGGCGCTGGCCTGACAAGACACAACTTCAAATCCGACTCCATAATTGTTGGCTTCTCCACTGCATCAGATCGATGAGAATATATCTTGAAAAAATATGTTAAAAGAAATACCCTCTAAAACTAATCGAAGGTCTCAATTTGATGGGGATGTATCGCTTAAAACTTTATCCTTCCCAAATTTCCTGAAACTTTACCAATTTATTGTCCTTAATTTGAAACCAACGTCGATGCCATGTCTTGAAAGCATTGGTAGCTCGTTTGAAAAGATAACCTTCCATTACAACATCATCTTCTGGAGAGATACCTGTCGGATGCAAAAATACTTCCTGAAATAAATGTACAGTTGTACGGAACATATACAACACAATACATAGTGTTATAATAAAATAAAAAAACTACAATGCGAGCATAAAACTTGGTTTCCAAAATTTGAAACAGCTTTGACATATAAATCAAACCATTAAGTTCGGATAATTTACCTTAGGTACTAAAGCATGACGATCTTGCATCTTCCTTTTCACATATTTATTTTTATTAGCCAGCAATGATGAGGTATCAGCTATTGCACCACTTTCAACTGCTGTCCATTCATCAAAAAACATATGTCCACGTACAAAAAATGTGCTACATTCTTTAACAAAGGACCATAACTAAAAAGATATTCTATATTAGAATAACCATCTAACTGATTGATGCAGTAAACAGGTTGATTTAACATTTTCTATATACCTATGATTTAAATTTATGCCTAGCATGTACCAAAATTTAGCAACATTCAAACACACACTGTATGATAGTTCGAATAAATACAAGTAAATATACATAACTTGATTTGAAATTTCATTTCTTAAACACTCGCAGTTTGCACAGGCAGCATAAAACAGAACGAATATTTTGACTTGCGAAGAATAAAATTAACTCACAGCATTTAGAACTGTGTGGTCTTTGTGTGCATGAGCGATATTTATCTGAGCTACATAATCGAGTGCAGTATGTGCAAAACATGTACCAACAGCAGTAAGAGCATTTCGCGCATCTGCAATATCTGTTGGTCGTGCACGATGCACCGCAGCACGCTTTGAAAGTGCTTCATCCAGCGAATTCGATAAACTTTCAAAATGACAACGCGTTTCCGTTACTTTCGACCGTTCACTGAAACATTGCTTTCATAATAGATAATGGAGCTTAATAACTGAGGGAAACTTCTCATTTATCGCGAACGTGATTGATAACATTCTTTGCAACTTTTTGTTAAGAAATAATCAATAAATTTCAATAAAGGGAATATAGGAATTTTCATCTTTATAACAAAGAGCAAGGCCACAGTAACATTAACGGAATGATGTTATTCCGTTAATGCATTTTCAAAGCTTCCAAGAACTGTAACTGTGACCTAAGACTACCATTAAAAACATTACTTTTTGAGGAAAGAAATGAGGCTATCAGCAATAGTCAAATGGGATTGTTCAACAAATGACTTGTAGATATGTGCAACTTGCGCGAAAACATCCGATAATGATTTGAGTGCCAACAAAAGTGATGGATCTTGTGGCAATAACTCGTAACATAACTGACTGATAACAATTGATAAAGTGCTGAAATTTGATTATTACCAAAGTTTGCAATACAACAGCTGATCACAGTTAATCTAATCTTTGTTTGCTCACTTGCTCTTAAAGTAACGTACTATATTAGAATCTGTATATAATGTTCTTAAAATCTTAAAAGTATTTGATATTACGAAAATAAACCTACTAAAAATCATTTACATAATTCTTGCCATGTTCTGCCAAGGCATTAAGTAATTGCAATACCTGCAACAGTACAAGTTAACTTTCATATATATATATATATATATATTATTTCGCTCTTTTCATCGTGATGTTACTAAGAAATAATAAAATTGTGCTTTCTTCATTAAATATGGAACACATATTAACAACTAATGAGACTGAAATCACTCTATTATCAATTGCATGATGTAGGAAAGGAACAGAATATTTGGAGCAATCAATTTTAATTCCACCTCTAAGACAAATAATCTATTATTGATTATCAAAACTATTTGGAATTTATAGTGTGGCGTTTTTAATGCTACTGAATTGTTCATATATTTAATTATATACGAAATAATAAAATTACCTCAGTAAGTTTTGAATCCAACTTGGTGAAGTATTGCTCATGTGCTAAAATCGCTTGCCTAAAATAATTAAAATCCACTCTTAATCATCACTAATATGATCCATTAAAGGAACTAAGTGAGTGGCATTTTATAAAAAAAGCTTCAAAGAAGAATGATCGATTACGCTTGTTCCGCACTTTCGTACTATACATTAAAGTTGATTATATCAGTAATTTGAAAAATGTAATTCATAGAACCTACAGAAAAATTGACCTGAATCTTGGAGAATCTTTCAATGCTTCGGTGAATTCAAGTTTTGGAAGCGCTTCTACCCCGATCGACATTACGTGTCTTCCTCTTTTAAATTAATGCCACTCAGATGATACTGAAATAGGCCACTGTGAAATCTGTTCTAGAATCTACACAGTGATTGTAAGTATAAGTAACGAAGTGAAGAAATGATCGCAAGTAAAAATATGACGTAATTGTCACAGTCAAAATGGCCATGTCAAAGGACGTTGAAAGCGCAGACAGTAGTACCAGCTCATCCCAAAACCCAAGATAAAATTAAATTTCACGCAATTTATGTATAATAAAGTGATTCATCTCTAGAACTTTTATTCTCATGTTATCTAATAGTTGCGCAAATGAAAAGGCTATACATTCGTTTAGAAATTAGTGAGAACAAGTACAGGTTAAAATGGAAGAGAAAAGACCAGGACTATCCATACCCCTTCAATAATTTGAGTGATTCATTAATGTGTCAAGATTCTAAAAAATTCATCTTGTCCAATGAGAATTTCAGAAACATTCGAATTTGGATCCTAAGGATAATTGAAACTATTTAAATTTAAAGAGGTCGAAAAAATTGAGAACTCATCCTTCTTGCGAGAATAATGATAAACCGTCATGGTGAATGAATGATACCACCTGCAATTTCTCGTCTGGGACAGGCTGATCGGGAAATAATTTGGATTGTGAATTGCAAAATCGATTAGGAAATTTGATACGAAGGGTATTGCAGGAGTGAATTTATTGATGTCAAAGTGATAACAAAACAACGAATTGAAATAACACAAATACCCACTAATTTCAACAAGAAAAGAGATAAAGTAAAAAAAATTATTGGATTAAATGAAATAGAATTAATGTGACTCAACAAATTGTTGAAATTATTTTTCCAACTCTAACTATGATTATTCATCATCCCATACTAATACCCTCATGCTTGTGCTTTCACAAACTGAAATTCTTTTATTATACTTCTTATCAAATTCTATTTCATTTAAATCCATTAAGATTATACTCGCCTCGTCCATTGCAAAATACTTTTTTATAAAGAATTGAAAGAAAAGAAAACGGAAAAAGCTATGCACAAGAAATGATAGCATCATGAAATGTATTCAACTAAATCGAATAACATACGGTTTCAACCAGTACACAACAACATAAAAAGATAGAAAGGCAAATTTTTTTTACTGTTAAGATTATACTCACCTCGTCCATTGCAAAATACTAATTAACTTATAGCAATTAAACACATGTACTACACATTTTGGGACTTACAAAATGTCTTTTTCTAAAGCCAATTGGAAACGACTCGTTTTGTTTGCATGAGTTAAATATTTAAGACTCTTTAGCTACAGGAGGCTAGATAATACTTGAGTAGATGTAAGGAAAAAATAGTTAAAGAACATAGATGAAAAGGCATAGGTAGGAAGGGAAGTTAAACTATTAATGTTTGTCATTTTTCCTCTCTTAAGGAAAGATAATAAATAAATATGAGAGATTTCATTTATACCTTGATTCATATCAAAACGGTTGCAAATTTCAAATTAGAATCAAACACAGTTAGAAAAAAGTTGCCCGAAAAGAACGTGAACTACGGAATTTTATATAAATACAAATATGAACCAGAGAGAGATTTCATGGCTAAAGTCCTGTCAAGTTCTGCAGTTAAAAATAGCAAAGTTAGAGATGAGATGCACAAAATTACACATAATTATGGTAAAAAAAAGTTGACTATAAGACAAATGAAATTTGACGAAGTTTCACTTAAACGAAAGAATTAAATTTCGAGATCATCATCGGGATCACTCTCATCGAAATCATCTGCTTCGTCTGGACTGTAAATAATGCGACCACCAGCTCGAATCTTACGATTTTCTCTTATACGCAACCTTACCAATTCTGAAAAAAATATCTGGAACATTATCTCAATATCAGTTTTAGTGATGCTAAGATCCCCAGAAAATGTACATTTGATGAAAAGTTATCAGTATGAATAGATTTTATACCTTCTTCTTTCTGAGCAGTTTCGTAAGGTAAAGGCACGCGCTCTCTGGCTTCACGCTCTGACTTTCTCAAATGAAGTCCGATATCAAAAGAACTCTCGGGCATAAACAAATTAATATTTCTCTCAGCAGACGTACTCGCATCTTGTGCTTGGTATTGTTTGAAAAATGAGCGGAATGAGTCATCGATATATATTGTTCCTACCTACAAAACGACTAATTATGATTGCAAAAGACACAATCTCTGACGATGCAGATTAGAAATGCAGGCCATTATTTTATGAAAAATAAAACATGAGAAATACAAAAATACAAATTTCATTTGACAACATACGCTGTCAGAAAATTTTTTTCCCATAAAGACAGAAAGGTCTTTGTGCACTACAGGAAAGTCTTCGCTGAAAGAAGTGAAATCTGCGTAAATCACGAATACCTTAATAAAAGTATATATCATCACGAATACCTTAATAATAGTATATATATATGATATACTTATATATATATATATATATATATATGGAATTATCTATATGAACAGTGGTTTCCATATGTAAAATCATAATTTTTACAAATTTGGTAAACACCACCTTTAAATTTCTTTTCCCATCAGCCTTATATGAAATAACTGTACAGAGAGCTGTCATATCTCTCAGTTCCAAAGAATACGTTACATGCGCAATAGAACTCAATCTCTCCCAATTCTCAGCAGAAATGCATTCGTCATGCATTCGCGCAATGACAGTGGCGTATTCTGAAAGTTGAGAAATATGCAGATAAACTGCGAAGAAAATTAAATACTTTAAGATTCACATTAACTCCTCAATTCCATTGTATATTCACGAAGCTTTAATCAATGTTGGTAGCGAACTGAAAGAGAAATCTCCATGCAAATAAGAAGCAACATGATAGAGCTTACTCTATACTTAACCAAAGCATGCTTAGGGACCAAATACTTTTTCTGAACACGAGACTAAATGGCAACGTAATATTTCACCCTTCATGGTTGTTCATATGCTTCAGAAAGTAGTCATAAAAAACTTACGCGAAATTCCCTTCAACAATACAATTACTCGATCAAAAGAACTATGCAAGGAAATAATGTCAATCGAATCAAAGAACACTGTCGTTCTTTCAGCATTTTTTAACAAATCAACAATTTCATGAAAAATATTCGCGAATGAATCGATTTCCTCCATTAATGTGCATTGCAGCATGAAAGGGTAACGCTTTATTAAAGCACTTTTACATGACGTAAACAAATACACCAATACTTGTCCTTTGTTGCGTACGATGGTATCATGCACTAAACTTGCCCATATTCTTTCTGCGCTGCATCGCAAAGTATCTACAAATTCAAGTTCAAAGACTTATATTCATCATTATATGCCAAAGAAATTTCCTCATTTCCATTATTATAATTTAATTAAGCATATTACTCTATTCCAATATAAAATATAGATTTCGTAATACCTCCTTAGACTTTGACTTTCGAATTTCTGAAATATTACAAAGTAGTCATCAATATACGTAACAATACGGCAATCAAATCAAACTATCATTGGCAGATAGAGTATTTCAGTTTATAATTTATTTCTAATCTACAAAAAACAAAGAACTATGCAAGGAATTAATGTTATCGAATGGAAGAACACTGTTATTCTTTCAGTATCTTTCAACAAATCAATAATTCCACGAAAAATATTCGTGAATGAATCGATTCCCTCCACTAATGTGCATTGCAGCATTAAAGGGTAGAATGACAGGATAAGGGATCCCTTATATTCTTGAACAAAGAAAGAGGAAATTCAAAATGAAAACAAGTAATCCTTGAGCGATAATTTTATAACTATTACGGATTAAATAATTCACAAAGATACAACCTGCGTCTTGGAAATTTCTCATAGCCTTCTAAAATAATGCAATATTCGGACAGCTAAAGCAGAGCAGGATGCAGATAATTCTAATAAAAGACCAACCAAAGCAAATCCTATTCACACATGCTTCTCTGTCACCAGAAACCATGTAACACTCTATAGTCATAATCTCCCACATTTCGTTTGCAAAACATTACCTTTCACCACTACTAAACTTTTCCAGCGTATACTCTCCATCACGTCATACGCCCTTCAGTATGCTAAAGCAGACATTTTCGCTTTCGTTCTCAGATTCCAAATAAGTACTGTCATAGATGAAACCTCATCCTCAAATAAAAATTTGTAATTTTACTTTTTTTGTTAACATCGCTCGAGAACCAAACCACACAAAGAATCGAACGAATAAATTTTCTACGCAGGTGGTTCCTCAGCTGTTATCTTTCTGTGTAAAACAAAAAAATTTATGGAAACGAAGCTCGAAATCAAAAGAAACGTCTCTTGAAGCAAATAGCTTGGATGTTGCAATCATGAAATATTAGGACATACATAGAAAGATTTATGGGATATTTTATTACGATCAAATTGAAATTGACTATATATAAGGAACAACAATATAAGCAAAACGAACATGAAGTAAACAAACGCTAAAAATGAACGTTTTACAGCTTGTGCCTAGCCATACAAAACGACATTAACAACATGCAATATAATTCAATGAGATCAAACCCATCAAACAAGTGCACATGATCCAGTAAGATCATCAAAATCGCTTAAGCATCGGTAGTTTTTGATGTTACTGAGATTACACCGAGCATCAATTTTAAGCCTTTCTATCCTAGGCTATCACAGCTGTGCAACATTTAAAACTGCTTTTGCAGTGGTCCATCCCAAACCTTACAAAAAATTCGTGTTCTAACGCATTCTATATAATAAAAATTTACACAGTCTCCATTGGTATATCGGCAGTTGCCTTGGCTTCAGTTTCTGATTCAGCCACCAAAGATTCACGTACTTTTTCAGCCTTTTCAGATGTAGTAACAGCAGTTGTGCTGCCAGACATCGTACAATCCATTGGCTCATCTTCAACTATTTCTTTTACATCTTCGTTTTGAATTTCTTCACTTCCGGCAACTGCAACATTTTTAATCTTATCTGCAAGAATTTGTCTACAAAATGACAAAATGTCAACAGAAAATTTTGAAAGAATACTACTTCAGATATCAAAATGAGACTAAAATTTTCAAGACTGTATGTTGTTTTAGAGTGGAGCATTTCAAGTACAGTCACAATAGACTATCCTAAAAAGGTTCGGAATAGAAGCCAACAAGGTTCGTTTGAAGCTTTCAGAAATATGTACCACAAGCTTACATTACAATCCAGTGTTTACACCAGTCTGTTCAGAATTTCCGTGATAATTAACGCTCTTTTGCAATAACTTATAATAAAGGCAAATGAAGAATCACTCTAATATTTTGTCCCATCTGAAATCATTATGTTAAATAAAGATTAGCAATAACACCGAAAAATAACTTTTTCCATCTTTACCAAATTCCGCTTCCTCTTCTCTAACTTTCTCTTCCTTGTCTCTCTCTTCCTGCTCTTTCTTTTCACTGGTGGCTGCTTCAGACACCGAATTCCTTGATAAAGCGGCAAACTTCGGTTGTATTCCGGAAAGTTGTTGCCCGAGAGTAGGAGTAACGAAAGGACCAGGTGGAGGTAATGGACTTTTCCCCGATGCTGCCTCTGGATCACGCGTTGTTAATCGACTCAATATTCTACAAAAAGAAATTACTATTTACCCTCCTTTCATAATTTCATACATAGTTTAATAATTAATACGACTTTCTTCATAGAAACAGAAATCAAGGAATGAATAATGTAGTCAAAAACATACGCTCTTTCCGTCATCCCTAAACGTTCGGTCACTGGACGCAGCCGTGCTAGTGTTGCTGGTAACCTTGATACATCTGCCTTCATATCCGACAGTAGTTCTTCTAACTGATTCAGTACTTAAAAAATGATTAAAAATATTATACACGATTTCTATAAAATAAATCAAACATTTTGATTTTCAGCTTAAAAAATTATCTAATAATATGAAACGAGATCATGATTTTATCAGTACTAGACCTATTTAGTAATGATAGATTCTTTGCTCTTGAAAATCCTGGAATGTAACACATAAGAGTGTAATGAAATTAGCATATTTTCCAGAAGAAAGCAATCATCTGATATTCTGTGCAAGTAAGAACTTATCTTGTGCAATACTGCGCTTGCATTTTTGTTGCCTTGCATACCCTCTCTAGCCAAATGCTGATGGCTTTCTGCTAAACATTCAATATCTGCGAAGCGTTCATTTAGTTGCTGAGTGCCATCTGTGTTAGACTGCGCTAAATTCAAATATGCTGCTCGTCGCAACTGCTCTTCGATAACCAGAGCCTGTTCCAAGAGCTGAAAATGAGCACTGACTAATATCGCTTATCCAAGCAGTGGCACGTTTTATTTTTACAAAAAGCTTGATATACCATTTTGATTCCAAAAAAAATTTGTATGTCTGCTGAAAAGTCTGTAAAAAACTGATTTATACCGGTGACTAATTTGAATTCTAACTGCTTACCTTATAACGTCTCTGCAAAAATTTATTCTTTATTTCCAAGAAATTTCCTTTCCCTTGTTCGGTACGAAATGGTTCATTGATAATTGAAAAACGTATATCATTCTGCAGATCTTGGTATCGCCCATAACCATATCTAAAGTTTTGAATTTTGATATTAAAATATTTAAATTAGTTGAGGAATTGTTAATGCAACTATCGCGTTAATCATGGTCAAAGTTGATCAAACCTTTCAAGCTAATATTTCATAAGATAACCAAATAAGGAAAGTATTGTAGATTTGTCCGCGTCGTGGAATGCTCTAATCCGACCCACCTACTTGTACAAAATTTCTTTAAACATATGAATGCAACGTATGCAACACTCTGAATGATAGCTGACTTGTTACAGTCAGCTATCATTAAGAGCGTTGCATTCATGTATTTAAATTCCCGCAATTTCGTTCATTATCTCCGACCGATTTGCGTGACACCATACAAATTACAGAAAAGTTCTTTTATGCTTAGAAGTTATAAAACACATACGTGATTATTCCTGCCAAGAGCCAATAATCATGCCGACGGTGCCAAATTTCAAATTCATTTCCAGGTACAGCTGCTTTTTCCTCATTCAACCATAGAGTATGCAGTTCAGTAAAGCCACCATCAGCAATGTTGAATTTGAACGGTGGTCGTGGACCTTTCAGTTTCGGAGTTTCATCCTCGCCTTCTTTCCTGATTATCCCAGCTTCTCTGTCATTCTTAATATCAGCCTGAAAATGCTTTATTTCGAAAAAACGATTTCTCAGTAATAGTAACGGCTTCGTTTAAGCATTTATCAAACAAAAGATGCCTCAGATTCGCCTTTAAATCAATCATGTACAAAAACTTGTTTCATTGCGCCTTTATGTACTGTTTTCCCTCACAACAGCACAACATAAGCAGTGCATTTATTTATCAAAGAGACCAATATTTGATTGTATTACTTGAAAATCAAACTGCGTAGTCACTTTGACTGGTTTTTCGAGTCTTCGACTCAATAGTTTCATCATGTTTTTCAAAAAAATCATCACTGGCATTAAAAAAGACATCATATAACTTAAGAAAACATTAGACAAATTGTACTTTATCGATATTTTCTCCTGATGCAGTGGTTTCTTTCAGAGCGGGTGTGTTACTTCTACTTGATGCTTTCGAACCAGCTTTACTATTTGAACCTTCTTTTTCGCTTTCAGCAGTCTGTGATGCTCTTTCCCGCACCTCCGGCATTGACCATTCACCATTACTTGCTTCAAATTCCTAAACGAAAATTTAAAAAAAACGAAAGAGAAAAAAATTTTAGCATGGCTATTCGCTATTCAATGTCCCGGGAAATTTTATCTATCACTACAGTTATTGGAGAATTGTAGTCTCTAAAAAACGGGAAAAATTGAAATTCTGAAAATTTCATTACTTTTAGTATTTGAAATGTGAAATGAAGCTTAACATTTCGTACTAAATCACTCTTTACCAACCGATGATTGACATCGATGAAATGTTTTCAAAAAGAATTTCATTACTGACAGGCATAATTAGGCTATAAAGTATGAACTGCTATGAAATGCATGTAAGAGACCTACTTGTACTTTCTTTCGGATTAAAGACATAATTCCAATCCGAGTAAGGACATGCTGTCGATTCAAACCTTCACGAGGTACACCATCATTGAATGATTCCTGAGAATCTGCTCCAGGCTCACACAAATGGCGCATAAATAATGATGTGTATGCTTTAAATGCACGCTCCGATTTACCCTTAAACGTACACTGATTGTATGGACGTCGATTTACCAAGAACTATATTTTAGAACAGGAAAGCTTATTTTCTTTGACTATTAGATGTCTCCTTCGATAATTCATCATTTCAATTGACAATACACTGATAAGACATTGTTTTTATTTGATTTAGAACTTACTGCCAAAACTATCCGATTTAAAAGTTCTCAGAACTTGCCTTTAAATCTCGCACGAGCCACTGCGACTGATAAGTGTCTTGGGGAGGCATACCCCAGCGCATAACTGCATTATAAAATGCTCGTCGTTGTCTTGGATTAAAACCCAAAACCTGAAATGTATAAACTATGATTATAACAAAAACCATTGATAACTTCTATTTACAATTCACAACAAAATCTAAGCTAATATAAAAGCTGCGATAACGACTAACCTCTAACTGCCCATTTACACGTGCAAGAAGTGGAGGAAGTTTTTCATCACCACGATCACGATGTCGTTTTTTTCCTTGTTGAGTGCTATCAAATTCATCATCCTCTCCTTCACCATCTGAACGACCACTATCACCGCTATATGAAGATGAAAAATCGTCATTATTTGGGTGCATTTGTTGCCAATCTTGTTGCATATTTTCCGACGCATAATTAACCTAAATTAACAAAATGCTGATCAATATAAGTCTAGAGCAATTTCTCCGAAATATGTGATAGTTGAGTCAAGACTGAAAATTATAAAGGCACACTCCCACATTAGTCATATTTATTGTCAAAAACGGAGCTTTAGAAACAAATAAACTATTACTAGAATTAGTGTAATTTCAAAATAGTTACCCACCTGTTTCCTAACACGTTTCCCTTTACCCAGTTTCTGCGC